ACTCTTAGAACCTATTTTTTATCGTTATCTCAGGTCAGGAACTGCTCGGAATTCAAACCATTGTTTGCTAAACTAATAATACGTGATACTATTAAACGAAAGTTGGCCGCGGCCTTAACCCTGTTGAGGTGTCATTGACTCTAAAAGTTATAAATGTACAGCAGTCAGAAGCGTGCTGGGATTTCCCGACACGTGGCTGCGTTCAGTTGCATCGTTTGTAAGGTTTGCATGTAATGAGTAAGTACTTCTAAAATCAATCAAAATCAATGAGATCATGTAATAGGTAAAGTGCGTGGTGTCTGTTTAAGAATACGGAGTGTCACCACCCCTATTCATCCCATGGATGTCGTAAGAGCAGAGTAAGGGAGCAAACTACGCAGGACAATTGGTCTAGTGGTTAGTGACGTGATTCGAACCGACGACGTCACTAATCAATAAACTAACAAGCCCAGAATAGAGAGACTATTGGTGATTAATGTTACGGTTCAAAGCGAAAGCAAAATTCAAATATTATGCAAAATGTGCCAGTGGATTAAGAACCTCACGTTCGACGAAGGTGCCTTCCTTATTTGAATCAATGAATGATCACACATGACTGAGCTAGACAGCCTGTGATCACGGCTTGAGAACAACAACACTGGAAAGCTGTGTGAAGAATGCAGTAGAGTGAAACACTTAGCAATTTAAATTTATGTAATACGTATTTATAATCAACAGCCTTTAATAGTTCACTGCTGAAAGACGGATTGTAATAGGATTTGTTTTCAGTTTTCTTTCTCTTTACAGTGCTGTTACAGGCTAGTCGATACTAATTGTAAGTTGGTAATCCAAAATAATAATCAGATAATACATTTTATAACATTATTTAAAAAAACTCTTGATAAGTTTTTTAAAACAGGAATCATTAATAGTTATTACATTGTTGCCTGTGTAGTGACGGATTAAGAATACTGAGTGACCATTACCCCAATTCATCCCGTGGGTGTCGTAAGAGCCGACTAAGAGCGCAAAACAACGCAGGACACCAGCACTGCAAAAAAAAGGAAAACTTGACACAAACCCTATAGCAACTCGTCTGGCCAGCGTGATATAGTAGGCCAAAACCTCCTTTCTAAGGAGGGGTCTATGTAAAGCAGTGGACTAGTAAAGGCTGTTGATGTGATGGACTTAAATGGACGACATTCATATATTATAGTTTTTCGCCACGACGGCAAAGGTTCGATAACAGCTTGGCGTAAATTTTTCTTAATTGTGTGTATTATGTCTTCACATACAACTACACAATACCTACACACACCTTTTTTTTTAAATGAAATGTGTAATTTACAGTGATTAATTAATAAAAATGTATTAATAATAATTTAAAGCGCCCTTGTATTCTCATTTCCACTTCTCATTTTTCTGTTTCATGTTTACTTGATGGTCACACAAGGAGCCCACAGTTAGGACATTAGCGAAATCAAGCATTAGCATAGATAAGTAGCGAAAAATTTATTTTTTTCTCTATTAGGGTTCGAGTTGAAATTAAACCATATACTCAGGTCTACAGACCTTAAAAGCTGTGAAAAAATCCGTTACGGACCCGTGATACCACTCAATGACACCACCGGTAGTGTCAAGGGTATTTTTTAATCCCCATGACACTACCGGTGGTGTCATTGAGTGGTATCACGGGTCCACCAGTATTGTCAAACTTATTATTCTTTTACAAATTGACACCACCGAGTAACTAACAGAAATAAAGATAGAAATAAGGGGTAATGCAGGGGTTGTTTTTGAAAAAAAAAAACATAAGAAAAGATAACGATAAAAAAAAAGATACGGTCGTTTATGCCGCAAAATACGCATAATTCGACTCTGTCATCATCATCATCATCAGCCTATCGCAGTCCACTGCTGGACATAGGCCTCTCCCATCGACTCTGTCAAGGGAATCAAAATTTATAGGGTACTTCTACTTCCCGTTGACTTACACCTAGGCAAGTAACAGTGTCTTATACTATGAGTACAGGGAAAAATCTGAAATCTATACATTTTTAATTGAATCATAAAAAATATACTCCTTACTTAAAGTACGCAATCAGTCATTGAGCTACAATTTAAAGTATCATACACTATAATATAAATAATTATAGGTTTTGGAAACTGAATTTAGGGTAAAGCTCGGCAAAAACTGCGAGACTTGATTCTTGAACTATTTATAAAAGCATCTACAAATTTGTACTGAACCCTTTGTGGGTAAGTCCGACTAGCACATTTTGTTTGTAATATACAGTAAATTAAAAGATTTTGTTTCTTTATTATCAAATCGGGCCATGCTACAAATACATGTTTAAAAACATACATTTATGCACTCCCGACTATATTCCTAAAATAATAGACGTCATATTAAATTTAACTGACTTTTTAGTCTAGCCCGCTCTTTTTTTACGTGTGGAAACCCCCTCGAGCCTCGAGCAAATGTGTTTGTCGTATTTTATAATAGCTCTTATAAGCCATTTGATAGAAAATTTGAAGATTTGATTGATTACGTAGCAAATAAAACAAACTGTACATCAGAAAACCTGCATAAGCTGCAAGTAGCTCCCAGTATGCGAAGGATGCCTTAATATAGTTTCTACTGTAAAAGAAACAAAGTTTTGCCTCGTGATGCCTTATCGTCAATTATTGGAACACAGCTTTCGTGTAAACGATATAAGTTATTACAGATTATGGTAAGAATATTTTTCCAAGTTATAAAGAAGTACAGGCTGAAAGACCTATTTCTTAGCGTTCCATGGATTCACCGTGCGGGTGCCGGGTCTATCGCGTGGTAGATATATATGTATACATATCTTTACATGTTTGGTTCCATTACGACTTCTTTCAATCCAACTATATTATAACCCGTAACCTAGCTTTGGTTTATAAATGTTGAATATGCTGGAACAAGAATTATAGACATGACGATTACTCAAAAGTAGTTTTTATTCAGTTTTGCGCATGAACACTTATTTTTTTGTATAATTTGAGTTTTGGGTACGACCGTCATATATTCCGCCCCGCGACGTCCAGCACACGCATACGTTGCTGCTGGCCTCTATAGCGGATGGAGGAGAAAACCCGTCCTGTCCACCCGCGGCCACGCTCTAGGCGGCATGAGGTGCTGGTAACTAGGTCCTAGTGAAGGTCATCCTCCCGCCACTACTCATCTGTCACTATCGGCTATGTAGCATATGACGGCCCGCAGCGAGAGATCCCCTCCAATGACAGCAATGAGCAAATTCGGGGCCGGGCAAATCGCCAGCGTGTGCTGAGTGGAGTCCTCACTGCAATCGCAGTGGTGATAGGCAGGACTCAGTTCCCTCCTAGCGACCGGGTGCAGGTACATCGGCCAGCACTTCCGCCTCCAGATCCCACAGGGCAATTCCGGCCAACGCACATGCCGCCTCCGTCGACACGGCACGTAACATAAAATTTGGTACATCCTACACGGCACGGATGGCGCAGTGGTTTAAGCGGTCGCCACGCCGCTTCCTACTGCGCCGAGTGTTGTGGGTTCAAACCCCACATGGGACGACACTTTGTGTGATCCACAAATTGTTGTTCTAAGTCTGGGTGTTCTTTGTGTCCGTTTCATGTATGTTTGTAAAGTCCCCCGCGACACAGGATATATTCCTAATGCGGGAGTTGTCTTTTTTAATAAATAAATAAAATAATAAATAATAAATAAACAAAAAAAGCTGTTCTAAATTGGTTTATAGAATTATGACGGAGTTCGGAAAAAACAAACATTTAAAAAAATACCGAATTGGGAAGTTTCTCCTTTTAACTGGTCTTAAAAAATAGAATAATTTCTTAACTTGGCTTGTCAAATTGCAGTGTGTATTTATAAATGACTGACCCAAAATTATAACGGAGTGTCACCACCTCTATTCATCAAGTGGGTATCTACAGAGCCGACCAAGAAAGCAAACTACGCAGGACAACTATAAAAGCACTACAAAGAGAAGGGAAACCTAAAACAAACCCTACACCAACCCTTCTGGCTAGCGTGGTATAGTAGGCCAAAATCTCCTTTCTAAGGAGAGATCTATGTCCAGCAGTGGACTTTTAAAGGTTGTTGATGATGATGGTGATGATTGCTGAACGCTTAGCCAGGCCAGGCCAATTGTGCAAATTAAGTAGAAATCAAACACAAAAGGCACACTGAAGTAGACTTATAATACGAGAAGTATAAAATACTTTGCAAAAGCAAGAATTTGTCTACATCTTGTGACAAAATTCTATAATTTAGTAGATACTCTTGAAATCACTGAGATTGCTTATTTAACAATTTTATATACGACCAAATTTTACTCATATTTTTATACTCTTCTGTCACATACGAACTGATATATTATTTCATCTTAATACATTTTAGATTGAGTAAGGCGTCGTTTACGTCGAAGGGTTTCGTTATTTATACCTAACCCTAACCCGTATTATAGAAAACGTATTAATTACAAACGTAAATTATAATTAACCTCTTGGACTCTGGTTTATTTTAAAATTCACAAATCCGTTGTAATGGGTATTAAATATTGTGTTGATTAAAAAAGCTATAATTTAGATGTGGGAAAATCAGGCTTTAACACAAATGTGAGTTAGTGAGGTTAATAGAGACCAAAACCCACCTCCGGCTATTTCTGGAGGGCAGGATTTAAAGTGGGGCAACTTATAACTTTTGAGTTGTAGGTGTCCATGGGCAGAGGTAGACACTATCTATCACGTGACCCGTCTGCTCGTTTGCCCCCCATTAACAGAATACATACCTACCATGACAAGACACCATTGAAAATTCAGAATTGTAATTCTATAATACTTTCATACAGTAATTTTTAATTCTTTGAGTTGATTCATATAAACTTTGAGAGCATAAGCATTAAACCATATGGTATGAAACAATTTCTAATTTACCAAATCATTAATTACTTTGTTCTTTTCTGCCTCTTATCATATTTGTATTTATTACTTTACAGGTACCAACCATCAGTTTGATGAGAAAAACAAGGATCACTGGTCGGTTCAAGCGCAATGGATGTTACATTCAAAGGTAATTTCAAATGATATTTACACGCTAATGCGTGCAGTACAATATTTTACTGAGGTTATTTTTCCAAAGAAGCTTCTTGTGAAGAAACTTCTGCAGTTTGTCAATATACATTTCAATGTCCACAACCTATTCGCTTTTTCTTCAGTTTCTGCAAAAATCGATGGCAGGGTTTTTAATTTCCCACACGTAAAACAACTATTGAGAATAGATAATTAAAGATATAATATGTGTCTTATCCTAATTCTTAACCCATTTCAGGTCACTGCCATGCTCAATGTTAGAAGAGCGAAGAACGTGATTCTATTTCTCGGAGATGGCATGAGCATCACCACGCTAGCTGCCACCAGAGTGTATCTTGGACAGCAGTACGGACACTTTGGGGAAGAACTCAAGCTGAGTTTTGAGGTGTTCCCGTTTACAGGATTAGCTAAGGTAACATTTATGTTTACTATAGCTAGTATACTCGTAGCGTTATTTTGTATATGGGATAGGCAAGGGTTACCGGAGTGATACCATAGCTTTACAGAAAACCGGTATTAGTTGGGATACAGAAAATAATGCAACTGCACTTGTAGTTGTTAATGCTTTTAGGAATGATTTGCTATAGAGTTTAATTGGAAAGGAAAAACATACATACATAAACAACAATAATAGTATTTCGATTAATATTTGAATACAGGTAACCTTTATTTCGTAAAATTAAAAATTTTCTGTGGAGGTAATGGGATCCACTAGCGGTGGCCTTAGTAGGGTAAAAAAGTTTTGATTTTCCTGTTGTCAGCGATGTAAAACTTTCTTAATAAGAATAGAATTAACAAAAAATGATGTACCTGGAGATAAATCAATATAAGTATTTACACTATTAAAAAATCAATTAATTTTAAAATAATGGTATATATTGGTCATTTAACAATAAAATTTTCAAATAAGAAGTGGGCATGTCACCCTCCCCAGACTATATTAGTATGAGACTTAAGTTATATATGCCACTGTTAGTTCTATTACAAAAGTATTAAATTTTACTTAGTAACTTAATTTTTGTTTATTTCTAGACATATTGCGTAGATCACAACGTAGCTGATTCAGCTTGCAGTGGTACAGCTTACTTGACGGGAGTTAAGGCCAACAGTGGAACCGTTGGTCTAAGCGCTGGAGTTAAACGAGGAGACTGTAAGGCGCAAAAAGAAGGCTTATATTCTGTCACTGGACTGATGGACTGGGCTCAAACAGCAGGAAAGAAAACAGGTAGGTACGCCATTTGCTAAACCAGGTTGAGGTCGGCTTTAACTCTACTACAATACGGCTGAACTTTGATATCGAAGTTCTGTAGAAATACTGTTGTTGGAACGGTTTTAGGGCTGCAACTAACTGTAACAATTGCCACAGATGTTCGTATGGCAATCGGCAACGATGGCTTAACGTGCTCTCACGAAGGGGTTTCAGTGTGTTAAGAATGGTCACCTATCCATAGATTAACCTGACTAGGATTGCTTAACTTTCCCTACTCGGTTAAAACTTAGCCACGAGCCCCTCGTACGCCATTTGCAATATGTTATCGGTGATATCATACTAGTGTTCGGTGCCTTTGATCCTACGGATACAGTTTATATGTCAACTTATAATTCACCACGCCATAGCGAAGTAGGATATCAAGGAAACACTAATCATAATACCTATAGAATCTTAAGGAAAATCTTAACTCTATATCTTTAAAATATCTCAGAATCACAATGAATTGAATTAAAAATCACGATGCCCGCCAAACAACAAACAAATGGTTGAAGTTAGCAAATTGTCGGTCAGAGCAAGAACTTTCATTACACGGTATAGGATTACTTATTATCTTGGCTAGATGGCGTTGAAGTATATTTTGACATAGCAACAGTTAATTATTAACTATAAACAAATTATCGCTTATAAATTTCAGGTGTGGTAACAACAACGCGAGTAACACATGCGACTCCGGCGGCATCGTACGCGCACTCCGCCGACAGAAGGTGGGAGGCTGATACCGACCTTCCTCCTTTAAGCACACTGTGCGAAGATATAGCTATGCAGCTAGTAAGAGGAGAGGTTGGCAGCAAAATTGACGTGAGTTCTATTTGATTACTTGCAGGAGAATTTGTCTTTCTAACTCTAGCAATTTAAGAACGAAATCCTTATTTAGTAAAAGATATAAAACAAGTTTGTTTGTTGTATTCAACGACTGAGGGCAGGATAATCGCTAACATAACATCCATCATATTATGATACTGTTGACAGGGATTCAGAGGACAAAAAATATTAATTTATTACTAATATTACTAATGTATAGATATAGTCGTGTACAGAACAAAATCAAGCTACGAGTTTATCATTCGTATCAGAACTTGTTCGAGAATTATTTTTCCTTCCATTATTTTTTTCTATTGTTCGGCATGTAGGTAAACTATATATATTCCATAATTATTATTATACTTCCTGCACATCATAACATTTAATTTCAAATTTGTCTCAAAAATATACTGTAGACACCCTTAATTTCCTAAACAGATTGTATTAGGTGGTGGTCGAAGAAATTTCTTTCCCAACTATAAAACAGATGTCGAAGGTATTCAGGGCTACAGAAGTGATGGAGTCGATCTAATCGATGAATGGATCAACAACAAAGAAAAGACTGGCCATAAACCAGTTTATATTCACGATCGGCAGCAGTTGATGAACATCGATGTAAAGAAATATGATAGTATGTTAGGACTATTTTCTCCTGACCATATGCCGTATCATCTAGAAGCTGAAGAAGATGACCCAAGTCTTAGTGAAATGACACAGAAGGCGATACAAATGCTGTCAAGAAGCGAGAATGGTTTCTTCCTGTTTATTGAAGGTAAAATGTTTCTTATTACAATGTTCCTTTTAGTTACTGCAGGCAGTTGTAGATTATGAATAAATTTGATACCTACGCTGTAGGTTACCGTGTTTTTCAAACTGTACTATCGAAAGTTGTTTTTATTCCAATGTGGGGTGGTATCAGATTTATTTCAGTTTAGTCATTAATTTAATTTATCTCGTAAAATGACATTGTGAGCGTCATGCTATGCTACTCTTAATAAGTTTGCCAGTAATATGTAGTATGATTACTAGTTGCTCATTTTCAGTTATGCTTATGATGGGTTGTAATTTTGCTAAACGTGTTGACGTAGGTGAGCCTTTATAATGTGGCTTCTTTATTGTATCATTATAGATGAGTCTTTTTTTTTTTTTTTTTTTTTTAAAAAAAGACAACTCCCGCATTAGGAATATATCCTGTGTCGCGGGGGACTTTACAAACATACATGAAACGGACACAAAGAACACCCAGACTCAGAACAACAATTTGTGGATCACACAAAGTGTCGTCCCATGTGGGGTTTGAACCCACAACACTCGGCGCAGTAGGAAGCGGCGTGGCGACCACTTAAACCACTACACCATCCGTGCAGTCAGTCTATATTATATTTTCAAGAAAGAACCTCTTGTCTTGTCTTTTTAATAAAAAATACACAGATTTAGCAATATTTTTGAACGTTTTATGCTGTTACTGTTTAAGTTTATCAATTTTTTCAGGTGGAAGAATCGATACAGCTCACCACGAGACCAAGGCTCGTAAGGCGTTAGATGAAACTGTGGAATTTGCTAAAGCAGTCGAAGCGGCGCTGCGGATGGTAGATACGGAAGAGACCTTGGTCGTTGTCACGTCTGACCACAGTCATACTATGACTTACAGCGGATATAGCAAGCGGGGTTCGGACATATTGGGACTTTCTAACAAGGTTATTTAATAAGTATTAATTTGTTTAATTTACTGTATTATGCTCTTAGTGTGTTGTTATATTATTAGAGTTAGTGTCATAAAAGTGAGCAATTTTTATGTCATATTCATGTTTCATTACGACCGTCACCGATACTCGTATTTTAATAACTTGATTTACGTAGTGATAATATTTCCTTCCGGGTGGTGACGGATTAAGAATACAGAGTGTACCCGTATTGATCCCGTGGATGTCGTAAGAGCTGCCCAAGGAAGCAAACTGCTCAGGAAGAAAACTTGACACAAACCCAATACCAACCCGTGTGGCCAGCATGAACGTTTTGGTTTAGTAAGCCAATACCTCCGCTCTAAGGAGGGCCCTGTGTCCGGCAGTGGACTATTAAAGGCTGTTGTTGATGATGAACATTTTCATTGCTTTTATATGTATCTTTAAAAATAAAGAATACCTGATATATCGATTTGACAACAGTAATGCATGTCAAAATGATTTAATTGAATACACACACAATTACGTTGCTCAATAACTGATGGTCATTATCAGTCAACTTCCATTAGTAATATTGTTTCTTTAAAATATGCTTTATGAAACCTTTTTGGATGTTATGAATAAAGTCTTAAAAATCTAAGAAGATTTTGGAACAGGTTTATACTTCTGTTACCTTACTCATTCAGTGAATATTAAATATTGGAAGCATTGCTTAGCAAGGTTTTCTGTGGCCGAGGCATCACTCCGGTCTAGCTGAATGTGACGATATAGGGATAATAATTAAATAAAGATTTCAATATAATTTACAGATGAACGCATCGGATCACCTTCCCTTCACCACACTAAGCTACGCAAATGGCCCAGGATATAAGGCTGAAATCAACAATATGAGACACAATCCGATTTTGGATGATCTCAGTAAGTTAATATTGAATTGTTATCATTAAATTTATAGTTATAACAATTACGGACCCGACAGGATTATTGAAGGAATCATCTTCCTCATATTATCTTCTAGTTTGCCATTCTTCGTACGTGGATCTCCTCTTCCAATTTCCATTTCTTCCGATTCTGATCTATTCGAAACAACCTATTACATCCATGTCAAATTTTAAACAATATCATTTATTATACTTGTTTCTTTGACTACTGTTGTTCCTTTTATACATATTTCTAGACAATATGATTGCTTACAAAAATATTATGAAAAGTTTATGAAATGGCACTCATATTTTTCTTATAATAATACCATCTGTCGCAATCCATTAGACACATATTATATGAATCTCCAGTGAAGTGAGAGTGAGTCCCTTCATCTGAGAGGCTATAATCAAAAACCTTGTCTCCACTATTGTTCAGCAGATATCACTATTTGTATTACGTATAGACGCAGAGCTTTTTTTTATGTTATTACTTAGTAATTTGTTTACCGAAAACTCCCAATATTAATATGCCAGTAGTAGTATCGTAAAAGTAAAATTTATGTAATAGGGGTAAGCTTATTTGGGTCAACGGGGTATTTTGGAAATCAAGGATGAGAAAATTAGGAGTATGCTAAAATTGAACATTGTTGTCAACAGAGAAGGCAATGAGAAAGAAAGGTGTAATGCCTATACCAATGGATTGGGGCATGTAAGCAATAGCATGTATATGATACATAGCTACCGCGATTTTGTGATCTAAATGTAATATAACAATAATTTCAGACTTCTCACACATTGAAATCTGATCCCGAACTAGGCAGAGCCTGTGCTATGGTGACCAGACTGCTGATAAATATACGAAATTATTTCTAAAACAAACATGTTATATATAAACCACACCCAGATAAAGAACAAATGATCGTACTCATTACACATTTATTTATCTTGGGTGGGAATCAAACCCATGAACTCCGGTTTAGAAATCAGGCTTAGTAACCACTAGGCTGACAGGCCAGTCATTCTAAATTTATTCTGAAGTATATTTTCTTACAGATAACGTGGATTATACATACCCATCCCTCGTACCCACGGTCCGGGAAACTCACGGTGGAGAAGACGTGGCAGTCTTTGCCAAAGGACCATGGTCCCATCTGTTTACTGGGAACTATGAGCAGAACTACCTACCACACGCCATTGCATATGCTGCATGCATTGGACCCGGTCTTACGAGCTGCAAACTGTAAAATAATTAATTTTAGTGCCAATAATTTAAAAAATAAAAGCTAAGTGTTCGTGAAGTCAGTAGAACTGAATAAAAAGAAAGTGACGAATTACATGAAGAGTGAATCAAATTATTTGTCGTAAAGGAAGCTATTCTCTTAGAAAAAACAAGAGAAGGAATGTGGTTAAATAGTTGTTAGTGATAGGTTAAGCATTTAAAGTCCAAAGTACTTAAATGTATAGAAAAATAATAATAAAACTGTAGAAAGTGGTGAAGTTACTTCAATAACGTCAGGAGAAATCTATTATTGTTAACCATAAAAATAATACGTACATATTATACAATAGAGTCTACTTTTGTCAACTGGTAGAAGCTCTAATTATAACAGATTTGACATTTGAATTGAAAATTTGAAGAGTTTTTGTTGACGATATGTTGCCTAATTGACTATAAATTCTATTTGATTTTTTTGGAAGTAAAACTTTATGATTTGTAAATACACACATTATTATAGAATAATATATTAGTATAGAAAAATAGAATGATTTATTAGAAACTGTATCAGGAACAAAAATACCGAACAAGTGTAAGTATCACACGAGCATCAAAGGTCCCGTACAAACAGTTAAGCAAATAGTACGGACCCTACGGAATTGATTTTTGTGATTTTTGTCTTTGTTTGTTTTCGTGATTTTATGACAATGGGAGTATCAAAAAATCATCACACACCTTTGAAGTGTTAAAATTTGCTGACGAGTAAGGCCTAAATTGTTGTTTTTTTTTTGCTAGCTTTCACTCAGAAGTTTAATTATAAAAAAATTATAAAAAGAAAAATCTAAGTGACGGCAGATATAAATTTTATGAAGTTTAAACTTTATACTTCTACCTAAAAGGTCCTTGATAGGTGAACAGATAAACGGACGGGTGGACATCAAAGTGATCTTGTAGGGTTTTTTTTCAGAACGGTAGTAAAAGCGTTTTGAATCTATTGATGAATAATTTTTCTTTCTGCTAAATGTAAGATTGTTTTTAATAAGTAGCCTTGAGTAATGTGAAAAATGCCGAAATGTAATAATATACAAGTGTATCTATTTAGAAAGAAGCTATTTCTGTTTTGAGTTCAAAAATTAAATGAATTACGGGCACTTTTTTTTTCAATACCCAGAATTACGCTTAAGGCATAAAATACGAGTAAGAAGTGTAGTTTTATTGAATTTCTTAATATGGTGAACATGTTCAGACATCGGTGTTGTCGGTAAATGATCATGATCACGAGAGTTATCCAGCCATACTTCAGCACGAGCAGCAGAATGATATCACGGCTTGATAAAAAACCGATGTTGTACACTTTTTTCGTTGCATTGTACCGAGTAAATGAGGTCACCGGATGTTAACCCCCGATGATTCTGATAAGTGAAATTGACTACCTACCCGAACCCACTCTCTGGCGGTCTGCGGCGGCTCAGTCGTCGACGGCTGATTGAACTCTTTAATAGTGTAAAAATGTACGCGTATTAATTGTTAATATTTTTTATTAATTATTATGATGTAACCACCACTATTCATCCAGTGGGTGTCGCCAACCCGTCTGGCCAGCGTGGTATAGTAGGCCATAACCGCATTTCTAAGGAGAGGCCGATTTGCAGCAGTAGACTATTAAAGGCTGTTGATATGATGTGATGATGAAAACTTTAAATAGAGAATGTCAAAAAAAACCTTTTTTTTTTTCAATGTTCCTCATTGCAATAATGTATTAAAGTTCAGTGTTAGTAGTTATGTAGGTAAGTATTGACAGTGTTGTGCTGTTAAGTTAAAAATATTGTTTAAACAGCTAATACCTATGCGTGCTAGTGTATATTTTGACTTGGTACAGTACAAAGTCTTTATAATGACCGTTCAAATTAAATTGGTCCATGATAATAAGAAATTCACAACGGTCTAAATTCGATTCATGTTATCTAGTTAATTATCCGTTTCGCCTGCGTGTATGTCGGTCATCGCTGTAAAAAGTAGCCTATGTTACTCGCTAATAATGTAGCTTTCCATTAGTGAAAGACAAACACGCAAACTTACTTTCACATTTATAAAATGCCATTAAAAGTGCAGTTTAGTGCAGTGAGAACCAATCTGACTGCACGGATGGCGTAGTGGTTTAAGCGGTCGCCACGCCGCTTTCTATTGCGCCGAGTGTTGTGGGTTCAAACCCCACATGGGATAACACTTTGTGTGATCCACAAATTGTTGTTCTGAGTCTGGATGTACTTTGTGTCCGTTTCATGTATGTTTGTAAAGTCCCCCGCGACACAGGGTTTATTCCTAGTGCGGGAGATGTCTTCTAAAAAAAGAAAGAAAAAAGAAAGAAATTAATATTGCCAATACTTTTGATATTGTAGAGTTTTTATTTGTTAATTTTAACGTAAGTTTTTGAAGTTAAAGATTCTTTAGCGGCGTTGTACACTATTTTTGTAATGGGTAAAAAATGTTAAACTCGCGTCAGGACACGTGACGGCGGCGCAGGGCACTTGCGCGAATGTTCGTGTGTGTCAAAAATGCACAACGTTAATATTCAAGTTTTCACTTCTGCCGGCACTCCAACCCGTAGTTTTTTTATTTTATTTGTCGATGTTATGCAAGTAAAATGTGTGACAGTGTTTGAAAACAATTGTGTATTAAATAAAATTACTTCGTACTTACATTGTGTTATAATAGAAAATATTAATTTAGGTACTAAAGATTAATTTAAATAAAATTAATGTTAAATATTTTTGTTATGTATTTTATTTATATGTTGGTTTTACTGTGGCATATATACGCCGCCTCGACTGCAGTAATACTACAGCTTCAACGAAAATCGGTGTTAACAGGTAAAACAGTCAACAAGTCGTCGCTTGCTACGTCGCTAACAACAAGCTAGTGTGGAGACTCAACCTCATTCCTCAATGTCTCACGATAATAAAGAAAATTTAAAGTTTTATTAAACGAAAGAGGAATAAAGTTCCTTAGTAATCATCATCAATTGTTTTTTAACTGACATTAAAGTGAATTAATTTGGAAGTATTTTTGTAACCCCTTGGAAATGGGCGTTTATAGATCGACACCGACATATTATAGATTTTCGATACGTGTATATTTATTTTACAAAATTTATGACAAAACAGAGATTGTTGCTATTTTGTGTGTTTATATGACTTTAGAGTATACAATAGACGATTTCAAGCAATGTTGAAAATTTTAATTTTTTACGCAACGGTTCTGAAATCGTAATTGGTGTGTCAGTGGACCTCTATAGACAGGGCCGGCGCTAGCTGTTTGAGCGCCCGCGTGGAATGCCGGCCCTTTTTCCATGTGGAAATCGCCTTTCGAATAACCCCCCCCCCCCCACCCCCCATCGGACAAAGGGTCTTACCTTCGCAATAATGGTATACCGGTATGGGGTATTTAGGAATCCCGCGCCCGCGTCTTGAGTGCTTCAAATTATACATACTTACGTTGTCTTGTTGTTTTAGGAAGGAGTATGCTCTTTAACCATTTTGTCGTAGTAAAGTTACAAACATTCATACTAAGAAACTTTCGCATTTATAACATCAATGAGAACTAAAATTTCATTTCAATGTATTTCAAAGCGACGAAATGTCCTTCAATAAATACTACGTACTATTCAACAAGAAATTAACCTTCAAAGCAATATTTGTTCTAAATCTAATTACAGAGTTAATCTCAATTGTTAGTCAATAGACACTTGATGGACAAAAACATGGCCCTTCAAAACAAATTTTACAAATAAATATCTATTCTGGATTGTTTCTTATAGAAATATTCCATTTGAGATTTGTAAACATTTATGCAAGGTTTTGATTGTGTTATTTTGATAGCTATTTTGATTGAGTATCGTAGTCGCCGGGTGGTAGGTACTTGAGTTATCCCGTTATCGCGATCAGTATTGTACCTATCGGAGCAACCATAAATTACGTCATTTAATAAAAATAAATAAAAATAATTTAATTTAAATATATATTTTTTAATAGAAGACTCCCGCACTGGGAATATATAAATAGCTATATAATAAAATCTAAAAAAATGTAAACAAGTGCGCGAACAATGCGTCCTATAGAAACGGTCATTCTCGCTCGAGCCATCGGGCTGTACGGATCTATGTACAACTGTTCGTAAGAACTTGGTGTATCTACATCTTTAATTATATTTGCTGTTATTTTGATTTACTACAGCTTGTATAAAGGAAATCCACGACAATCTAAAGAATGTCACTCTATGATGATCTATGAAAGTCACTCTATTTAAAAATATCTAGACATCGGTCCTCCGACATACCTTACTTCTATGACCAGTCGCGCCTGGAATAAAAAAAAAACAAACCATTTACCATTTTTTCGATGTGGTAGTCCACATTCAGGTGATTTCCCTCTATATGACATAATTTCTCACGCAGTGAGGGCGAACCATGAAAGCACGGCGTAGGTGATGTGGGTGCGTACAAATAATTTATACACACCCAATTTGGTTAGCAGAGTGAGACGGGACCAGAGTACTGCACGTAGCAAGGCGCGGCCTGAACTCAATAGCGAAGATTTAAAAAAAAAGACGTGCCTGTATTTATACCATAACTCTCTCTATCCTGAATTCTCGCGGTGTCTCACGGCATGTTATCATTCAATCAAATTTGAATAAAAACATTTTTTATTTGCTAGTCAACTACCATAATTTCAAATAACTATTTTCAATTAAGTCCAAAGTGCGCAGGCTGTAATAACTTGAAACAGCTTAGAGCCTGTCCAGATGAGGTGTTTTCAGTCACTCGCGGTCCCGAGGTACTAGAGCTACATAAATTCCGTCCAGATGATGATGCGCGTATCCTCACTCGCGCGTAAAACGCAGGTAATGAGCGAGACTCTCAACTCGCGCATTCTACGCGCCAGCTCCGCGCGAGTCGAGGTACTCGGGCGCCATTACTGCGTCCAGTACTACGCGCGAATCCGTAGCGAGTGGACGTATTACAAAATGGGG